ATTACCATTCCAGACTAGCATAACGTTAGTAGGTTTACTATTTGGGAACCATTTCTTTATTGTTACATCTAAACTCTTTATTAGCTTATTTATCCGCTGCAACGCGCGGGGAATTATCTAGTTTAACAAAATCAGGAACCTTATAACCTTGAGGGTAAGAAATTGCATTGAAGTGTTCAGGATAAGGCTTTTGGTACACACGGCTCTTTACTTTCGGCTCGTTTCCGAAAGTTTTTAGAAACATCTTATGCAAATCCTTCCTTAATTTAGCTAAAATTGGATCCGAGGTAGATGAAAATGTTTGTGGTAATGACATAGGAGCAACCTGAGTACTAGCTATTGGTGCAACTTGTGGGATGGGCGCTGAACCATAATTCGGTGGAAGACCAAACATGCTTGCGCTTATGGGTGGTGTGACAAAGTGATTCAGCGTAGACACCGAATTGGGCACACTCATAATAGGATTAGGATATGTAGGTGCAGACACAAGCTGGTTGGTTTGAGTAGGGTAAAAATTCAACGACATATTATATTGTGGTTGCATAGGTGGTGTCGATGAAATAGGTACAATTGGAGTAGGGTTTTCAGGTATACCAACTGTACCATTAGATGATGGAGGCATATTTTTCTGAGCATTAGCACTAGCCACAAAAGAATTGTATGCCATCACATTACCCTTACTAACAAGACTTTCAATCACAGCCACTTGCTCTGGAGAAAAAACTTTACTCACAGTGATTACATCTTGTTCGTCAAGGAGAGGAGAGAAATTGACGTTTCCAACTTGAGTGATGTTGCCTTGACGGTCCTTCTTGAAACTTGAAAGAAACACTTCCAAATCCTCCTCCTCGCGCTTCTTCTTGAGCGCCTCAAAAGCCTCTTCACGCTGCTTCTTGCGCGCTTCATAGGCTTGGCGATGTTCATCCGATAGTTCATCAAGACCGGGCTTAATAATGTTATCAGCGTCAACTTCTGAGGGCTTGGGGAGATTTGACATAGTTGATGATGATTCTTGATCTTTCTTCCCCAGCGAAGTCGTCAAAAAGTATGTTCGCACACGAACACGTCACCGTGTACCTCCAACACCGAGGGTGATGCACCGCAGCTCACGCCGAAGGAGACCCGTCCGGAAGCGCGGTACACAAGCAATCCGGCGGGTGCTTTTCAGGACCCGAAACCCCAAGCGCCCGGGAGGGATCCCGTCTGAACGTGCGGCGGCTATGGGCTGCCCTAGGTCGGTTCGCCCGCCCCTAGAGCCTCGAGGATCGCTTCCCTTCAACATGAAGAACGAACGAAGAACGAGAGAGAAAGAACAAGGGAGGGATGTAAAACTAGGGTAAAAAGTAGATGTGTTTTGCGATTGTGTGTTGTTGTTCAATCGGCCGTCACCCCTTGGGTATATAAAAGGCGGCTGGACTTCCCGTGCAAGGAAAAGGTTTGGATTCACGTCCAAAACCCTAGTCAAATTCGGATTGGTTTTGTCCGGACTTTCCAAAACTGTTCAGTTTAAACTGGCTGCACATTACGGGTCTTTTTTGTGGTGGTAAACGAGCTCGGATAAAAACGAGCCCAAAAGCAATCTTGACCGTTTCGACGAGGCGAACAACTTTCATGTTGAACGTTTTTTGATCCGAGGTCATCTTCATGGCCAAATTCCTCGCGCAAAATAGCTAAATATTCACGCAGCTCATCAGACATACCCACACATGTGTCTGGTTCCGGGCGTCATATTTTTCTCATTGAAGAGTCACGCTGTGCGGGCTCTAACTTTTGCATACGACCTTGGAGTGAGACGATTTTTATATTAAAATCGATCGTTTCGACGAGATGAAGACAATCCGTGTGGAAACTTTTCCCATATAAGGCCATCTTGGGGGGCATAATCAGCCGAATAGTGTTCCGAATACAAAATCTGAATACTTCGAACACAACTTCGGCCTTAGAGATGAGACCGAATGACTATGGCCCAAATATCAAAAAATTTCTTTTTGACGATACGGAACTTTCTCACTTTGAGCACTTCTCCATTTGAGGCCATCTTAATTAAGTTTTTCGCCGTGCCAAAATCTGATGTCAATAGTTATATAAGAATGACCATTTATAATATGCATTTCATGTAAATATGGTGCGTCTCCACACCTGTGCAGAGGGGATTATCCGCATCTGACACCGCGTGATGCGACGCGTTCATCGCATCGGCAACTATTCTTTTTCTTGCAGGGGCATTGCATTTAGCAAACTGCATAATGATTGATGCGGCGATTGCGACAACAATTGATCAATATAACAAGTAGCCTAATTATAATCAGAGTCAAACATACCAAGTGGTGCTAAAAGAACTGTTGGTGCATTAAATTACGAAGAGCTAACTCAATCACGGTCAAACCCTTCGTACCCAAGTCAGATGCCTTTGGTAGATGGCAGTATTTGCAGAATTGCAGACGCCCTCAAGTTGGGGCACTGTATGCTCCTGTGCTATCTTCTAACCCAGCTCCATCCAAGAACTGCAGTACGCAGGTTTAGCTCAGGAACATGGCAACCGGCACCGGCGGGAGGCCAGCCACCATGCGCGCCGTCCAGTACAGTGGCTACGGTGGCGGCAGCGCTGCCCTCAAGGTCAGCCTAATTTGCAGTTCGCTTCTATCTCGGAAGCGTGTGCTTTGGAATGGATGATCTTGGTAAACATTTTGGTGGAATTGCATCTGCTTTTCTGCAAATCTATTCCCCATAACCGTTTATCATCTGGAGACATACTATAGTACTAGCCATTGTTTAGAAAATCTTTAACTACTATACTAGCCATTGTTGAGAAAATCGTTAATTACTATACTAGCCATTGTTGAGGAAATCGTTAACTACTATACTAGCCATTGTTGAGGAAATCATTTGTTCGCCGCCTCTTGTCGCAACGCCGCTCTTCTTCTTCTTCAAGCTGCCTCACACAACTCTCATGAGGTTTCTCTCAAGAACACACACTTCACCAAGGAGGAAAATGGCTTCGCCTCTTGCTCCGGGTGAGAAAACATGCACTATATTTTCTTCTCTGGCCCTCATCGGCCTCTTTCTCATCGCTTGATATATGCAACATATATACAAGGAGTTAGCCTCACACACGTACCTGACTAGCCGGCAGGTTCGGCCACTACTCCACGTACCGCACGCCCAGCTAACAATCCTGAAATCCCTCCGGAGCTAACAACTTATCCATGCAGCCGCTAATTAATCCATGCACGCATGCATTTGATTGTTAAACACAATACTATTGTAGCTTGCACGCACACTCCCTTCCGCGCCGCGTTCCGTATGTCTCATGCACACCTGACGCGCCCGACGAGCCCGACCACATCAGATGTTGTGGTTTATTCCAACACACACCTTAAGCACGGCCTAAAGAAGTCCGTCGTCGTTGACGTTGGCGTTGGCTAGGAGAGTCTGCTCCGCCACCGGTTCTTTCCACAGCTGCGGGCACTCGCGTTTGAAGTGCCCGTGCTCTCTGCATTTATAACAGCATCCACGACGCTTCCCTCCGTTTCCCGGCTATGTGCTTGTCGCGCTGTTGTCATCGTGGACGCCGATGCCGCGTCCGCCTTGCAGTCGCTCCCGAGTCGCCCATTGTGCCGCCGTCATCATCAGCTGCCCGTCTGCGCGCTCGCCGCCGGCCTGCATGCGCCACCGCGTCCTTTCTTCGAACGCCTTGAACGCCACCGCCCAACGCCACCGCGCACCTCCACGCCCTCTGCAATCGTGCCGTCCGCTTGCCGTGCCCGAGCCGCGGTTGCCACGTCGAAGCCGTGTGCCACCACCATGTCCGGACTCGCCCCGCCTTGCCATCGCCACGCGCTCGCCGCGCGCCGCAGCCACGCCGCCGAGGCCTCCATGTCCGCCGTGACAACTGCCGCGCCGCATACCTCCATAGGCCGACACACGGCCCGAAGGTTCATCGCGTAGCCACCGGCCAACACCGCGTCCAGCAAGGGGAGCAACACCCAAGACAAACTGGCTCATGATACCAAATGTTGGCGCCACCTCTTGTCGCAGCGCCGCTCTTCTTCTTCCTCAAGCTGCCTCACACAACTCTCATGAGGTTTCTCTCAAGAACACATACACACTTCACCAAGGAGGAAAATGGCTTCGCCTCTTGCTCCTGGTGAGAAAACATGCACTATATTTTCTTCTCTGGCCCTCACCGGCCTCTTTCTCATTGCTTGATATATGCAACATATATACAAAGAGTTGGCCTCACACACGTACCTGACTAGCCGGCAGGTTCGGCCACTACTCCACGTACCGCACGCCCAGCTAACTATGCCGGAATCCCTCCGGAGCTGACAGCTTATCCATGCAGTCATTTAACTAACCCATGCACGCATGCATTTGACTGCTAAACACAATACTGTTGTAGCTTGCACGCACACTCGCCACGGCGCTGCGTCCCGCACGCACGAGACGAGCCCGACCGCACCAGACGCCATGGCTTATTCTAACATCGTTAACCGGTAGCTGCTCGGTTAGTTGGTGAGTTAATAGGTTAATCGACAAGTTAATCTATTAATCAGATGATTTATTAGTTTATTGGCTACTCGGTGACCCTATGAGGAGATATTAATTGGCAAGTTAATTAATTAATCAGACAAATTCTTGAAGAAGATACTAGCATGTATATTTGTGCTGAAATTTCCACACTTATCGGGATTTTGTTAGATATGGTAGCTTCCTAGAAATAAGTAGATCGTGGAAGGGGATACGGGCTACGCTCTGTGGACCCAATTGAGTTGACTTTGTAATGCTGGGGGCGCTGTAAAAAGGAAAACAATTTCTTGAAAGAAAACTACATGCTGCTCTACATTTTTGGTGCCTCCAGCTAAGTCATGAGTTTTTTTTATATTTCTTATGAACTGTTCTGTTACTCTTGGAGCATTGCAAACCGAATTAGTTCAATTGGCTTGAGAGCTCCCCTTTTGGTAATCTGAGAACAAAAGGAAAAAAATCAATCTGTTTTTATGCAGTATGTGGAGATCCCTGTTCCATCACTGAAAAAAGGTGAAGTTCTTATAAAAGTTGAAGCAGCAAGCATCAATCCAGCCGATTGTCGGATACAGAAGGGACTGCTACGTCCTTTTGTCCCTAAATTTCCATTCATTCCAGGTATTAATGCATTTACTAGTTTACTTATCGCCGTAACAGTGAGTACTGATGTACTGTAGTAGTAAGAGATATTACCTGTTCATATTTTAGCTGCTGCATTTCCAATGAAATTCAGTCAGAAGGAATGAATGGCTTCTCTTTAGATGATACATAATTTATTTCCAAATTATCAAAATGCTTGCGATTTGTCAAACAGTAACCGACGTTGCTGGAGAGATTGTTGAGATTGGTTCTGCGGTTCAAGAGTTCAAAGTTGGCGACAAAGTTGTTTCCAAGTTGATATTCTGGGTAATTTCGAACTTGCTCAGCATTTAACATCCATTTCATTTCGTGGCATCCATCATTAACGAGAGACGAATCGCGCCGGCAGAAAGCTGGTGGCCTCGCAGAGTACGTGGCGGCATCGGAGAGCATCACCGCCCCCCTCCCTACCGGCGTGTCCTCTGCGGATGCCGCAGGGCTCCCCGTGGCCGGCCTCACGGCGCTTCAGGCCGTGAAGGCCATTGGCACCAAGTTCGACGGCACGGGCGTCGGCAGCAACATCCTGATCACTGCTGCGTCCGGTGGCATCGGCTCGTACGCCGTCCAGCTCGCTAAGCTCGGGAACCACAACGTCACGGCCACCTGCGGCGCGCGCAACCTGGAGCTTGTCGCGGACATCGGCGCCGACGAGGCGCTCGACTACAAGACCCCGGAAGGCGCGGCACTGAAGAACTCTTCCGGCAAGAAGTACGACTACATCGTCAACACCACGAACGGCGGCAAGTGATCGGCGTTCAAGCCGAGTCTCGGCAGCCACGGCAGAGTGGTCGAAGTAGCTCCCAACTTTGGGAATTTTGTCGCGTCCATTCTGACGCTATTCTCCAAGAAGAAGCTGTCCACGGTTACCCTGTCGCTGGGTATGGAGGACCTCAGGTTTTTGCTTGAGCTGGTGAAGGAAAGGAAGCTCAAGACGGTCATCGACTCGCGGCATCCATTCGAGAAGGCGGCAGATGCGTGGGAAAAGAGCTTGAGTGGCCATGCAACGGGGAAGGTCATAGTTGAGATGTGATTGTTTGACTTTTATGCATGCAATGCTTCAGTGTTTATTTATGATGTTATACTTGGAACTGTTAATATCCGAAATATCTTAATGTTGATTTATACATGTATTTATACATAAAATTATTGGAAATATGAGCAAATTACTACGAGATTTAATCCGAATAAACAAAAGATAAATCACGACTACAGTAGCAGAGATTGAACTAATCATGCGAGCTAGCATAGTAGATGAACAGATCACATCTAAGGCACGTACTAGAAACATGAATTCTACCACGATCTCGAACAGGAAGGATAGAATCACGTACGGTGCAGCGGGAGCAGCACCACCGGCATTGTCGCCCATGTTGTCAAGGATGAGGTTGCCGAGGTCGGGAAAGAAGTCGTCGTTCGTGAAGTCGTCGCTGCCAGCAGTCGCACGAGTGCGCCCCTCAAAAACCTGACCGCCCCTCTCTCGTACAGGATCACGAGAGGTGGGGTTCCAGAGGCCTGCTGTCACTTCTCCCGGTGCACGCCGAAAGAAGGGATGGAGAAGACTTGCTTGGTGGCGCAATGATCTGGAACGACGGTGAAAAACCATACGAAGCGGTGGTGGCTAGGGTAGACGTCTGTCTGACTATATAATGCGGGCCGGATAGGTCGTGGAAGTAAACCCCATATTCGAGTCGTCACGATCCAAAAGAATCGGAAATGGTTCAGTAATTGACGCGTCCATCAATTACTAATTAATGACTCATTAATTTTTCCTGAGCAACAAAAATACAGACAACGTGCATAACTCTGTCCTCGGCTCGGCTCAATGTCGCAACCCGCGGCGCGTCGTGACGAGGCGTGGCGTGGTGAGGCGAGCGAGGAGGAGGTGCGCGCGTGTAGGTCTCCTCTTTTCATGCTTATACAAGTGGTAGAAGAGCTCAGCTTATAAAGAGGTGCAACTCTCTCTCAACTTATGAGGTGGGACTAAACTTTAGCCTCATTCACTCCACTCACATGTGTGCATGAATGAGCCAAGAGAATTTCAGAATTTTAGTTGGGCTTTGGGCCAAAAGCCCACTAGCAAATTCCAACAATCCCCCACAAAGTCTCATTGGCACATCTCACCATTTGGGTCCAAAACATTGTTTATATACCGGTGCTTAGTGAAGAGTGTAAAGTTGAATTTCCACTTAGAGATTTATGCTACACTAGATCACAACTTGAATAGTGGACTATGCCTTGAACTACAAGTTTCCGCGAGACTAGTTTCACACAAATTCTTGACTGATACTAGGCTGCCGCAAGGCTTCCCCGCAGGTGGAGCATATACGTCGTACTCCAGGGCCTTTTCATGAATTTATTAGAGAACACCCAATTCTCGCAGACTGCGACGTTAACAGTCAAATTCATATAGGTGTGTTCCTCAGAAGATGTTTTGCAGGACAATATCTTTGCTTACCTGAATAAGCCACTTGGAACACATTAAGATAAGTATCAACCTGCCATGCAGATCAGAAGAGTATTGCATCTTCACGGAGTGGGATAATTAAAATAGGGATACTCTCCTGTCAGCTGACCAACAGCTTGTCTCCCACTTCTACTTCACGGGATCTCCGATCACATAGAGTGGGTTACCACTACGGACAACTCATGCGGTGGGTCTCAAGCCCATCTCCATCGATGCATTATCTATCACGTTACGTGATAGACCTTTTGTGAAGGGATCTGCCAAGTTTTTCGACGTTTGGATATAATCCAACCTAATAACTCCGGAGTTTCTCAATTTTCTAACAGATTTTAGTCTCCTCTTCACATGCCTTAAGGACTTCATATTGTCCTTAGAACTGTTTATCTTGACGATCACAGTTTGGTTATCACAGTTCATCAGGATACGGGGTATTGGTTTTTCAACCATAGGTAAGTCTATCAAGAGCTCACGAAGTCACTCTGCTTCAATGTGGCAATGTCTAATGCTGTGAGTTCTGCTTCCATAGTTGACCTCGTTAAGATGGTCTGCTTGAAAGACTTCCAGGAAACAGCGCCACCACCAAGTGTAAAAACATAACCACTTGTGGCCTTAATCTCATCAGCATCAGATATCCAGTTTGAGTCACTATAGCCCTCCAGTACCCTTGGATATCCGGTGTAGTGAATCCCATAGCTCGCGGTGCCTTTCAAGTAGCGCATAACTCTCTCAAGCGCATGCTAATGATCATCTTCCGGTTTTGACACAAACCGACTCAGCTTGCTCACAGCAAACGAGATGTCAGGCCTCGTGGCACGCACCAAATACATAAGCGAGCCAATAATCTGAGAATACCTCAGTTGATCCCTAGCAATCCATCGATTCTTTCGAAGCAACACACTAGCATCATATGGATTTGGAGAAGGCGTGCAGTCGCTATACCCAAAACGACTCAAGACCTTTTCCACATAGTGAGACTGAAGCAGTGTGATCCCACCATTCTCATCTCTCAACAGCTTGATGTTCAAGATAACATCAGCTACTCCTAGATCGTTCATCTCAAAACAGCGAGATAAGAAATCCTTAACCTCCTTAATTAAATCAATTTGGTTCCAAAGATCAACATGTCGTCGACATACAGACAAAGAATTACTCCTTCGCCCCCACCATAGCGATAGTAGACTGTAACACCCCGGTCGTTAAGCTACAATAATCACACACTAATCGAGCCAGGTCATCATGATTATTTTAATACATGTCACTTTGATCCAAACCAATTTCACATTCAAATTAAAATAAAGTCAAATTGTTGTCTATTCAAACGGTAAAATAAAAATGTTTGGTGGTTTGCAAATATTCTTTAACTAATTATCAGGGAGAAACCAACATTAATAAAATGTTTAATTACCCTAAAGCAATTAAAACAGGGACCAAGTCTTTACTGAAATGCCTTTTCAGAATTATAGAAGTTCTAAACTATTTTAATTAAAACTCCAAGATTTTTGTGGCAGTACTAAATAATGCCTAGTATTTGTTCTGACAAATTGTTTCATTTTACAAAAGCCTATTACTGGATAAACTAACAGAAGCAGTATCTAAAATAAAACAAAAAAGTTAAAAAAATAAATAAAGAAAGAAACAAGCCCACCCCACATGCTAGGCCTAACGGCCCAGCTGGCCACTGCACTGGCCGGCCCACCAGGCCCAGCCGGGCTTCCTTATCCCCCACTACCCCGTGACCTAGAGCAACCTCCCCCCCACACGCCCACCCGCACAAACCCCACTCCCCTTGCTGCTCACCTTTCCCCTCGCTGGTTTGGATCGGGGAGGAGCCTGATCTTGCACCCGGGCCACTGCTCCTCCCCAGAGGCCGTCGCTGGCACCGAGCACCGCCACCCCGGCCTTTTCCGCGCCTCTCCTCTCCCTCGCGCGACCCCACTAGGAGCCGCAGCCTCGCTTCGACACCAACCGCCGCCGCCTGGAGGTCCACTCGTCGGAGCCGCGTCGCTACTTCCTCATCCCCGCCGTCGAGCTCCATCGTCGGATCGACGGGGTCGACCTCGACGCCCACAACCCCCCCCCGAATGGCGCCGCCCCCCATCGCCGACAACACTGTCGCCGCCTCCCCAAGCCCACTGCCTAGCCCCTGCAGCCCCCCTGTGAGGAAGCCCCTATCCTCCTTTACCTTCCCCGCGCACACCCCGTCCGGCCGGTCCGTCCCCGCGCCACTGCGCCCCCATCGCGCTGCTCGCCCGCCGCGCTCCGCCTACCTCCGCCATGGCCAGCGCGCCCTCTGCGTCGTGCTCCCCGTGACCGAGTCATCCTCGTCGTGCCCCCGCCTCCACCTCGACCCGCTCCTGTCGTGCCCGCCTTTGCCGGCCGTCGCGTCGCCTGCCGCTGCGACGTGCCCCGCTGCTGCCCTCCCGGCCATGCGCCCACGCGTTGGCCTCACCGGCCTCGCCCACCGCGCGCAGCCCTGGCCGCCAGCGCCCCACCGCTCTGCCACGCCTCTGCTCGCCCACGCCCTCCACTGCCTCCCCGCATGCATCCGCCGCCGCCCAGCTTCGCCATGGCCCTCCTTCCTTCACCCCGCGGCCTCCCTCTGCTTCTTCTGGAACCGCGCGAGCGCGAGCTCGCCCCCGGTGGCCACCGCGACTCGACTCACTGCCCATAGCGGCAATCCGGCATGCCTCCGCCATGGCTGAAAGCCACCAGCGTCTACTCGCCGGCCTAATAGGCCATTTGCGCTAATTGCGCTACCAACCCCTGATGAGCCACAGACACATGGGGCCCAGCCGCCTGAAAAAAACAATAAATAAATAAATATTATATTATTGATAGTAATAATTAAAATAAATAAATAAATAAATAAATAAAGAATTAATTAACTCAATTAATCCTAATTAGATTAACCTAATTAACTGTTGTTAATTAACTAAACAAGGTATGACATGTGGGACCCACACGTCAGTTTGACCCAGTCAACATTTTGTTGACTACTGACGCCATGCTGACGTCAGCATGCACTATTCTGGATAATGTTGAAATAAATAATTAAATTCCAGAAATTAATAAAAACTTTAGAAAATCATATTAAATAAACCGTAGCTCGGATTGAAAAACTTTGTACATGAAAGTTGCTCAGAACGACGAGACAAATCCGGATACGCAGCCCGTTCGTCCGCCACACATTCTTAGCATAGCAAACACACAACTTTCCCCCTCGGGTTCATCTGTTTGAAAGCGTCAGACATCGGGAATACTTTCCCGGTTGTTTCCACTCTTCGCCGGTATCACCTCCTACCGCGTTAGGTCACCCCTAGCACCGCGTATTGCCTCATTATGCTTTGTGATGCTTTGATTGCTCTATTATTTATTATGTTACCCCTCCGTTACTTCTTTCCGGTAGACCCCGAGACTGCTGCCGGTACCCTTGCGATCGACTACTGTGTTGACGACCCCTCTCTCTTGCCAGAGCAACCAGGCAAGCCCCCCCCCCTTGATCACCAAATATCGCCTACTCTTCTCTATACTGCTTGCATTAGAGTAGTGTAGCATGTTACTGCTTT